GTTAAATGGAAAGCTTAGACATTTCTTGAAGGCTTAAATTACGCTTAAAACATTTATTTAGCATTTTTTAAGCTAAATAGACTCTGAAACAACTCATGAAATTAATTTAAAAGGCTCAATAAAGGCTCAGATTTTATAAATAAAACCTTAATCGTGGGCCTTAATAAAAGAGAACTGTTATTGTTTTTACCATTTTCGACTATGTTAAGAGCTTTTTTACAGTATACAGAAAAAGTCTTACGTACTAGGATTATTATATACCATAAAAATGTTTATATCAGAGCCTTCTTGTATATATTAGCCTTACTTATTTGCCTTTTTAACAAGTAAAATAAGTTAATATTTACGGCATCTCTTATGCTACAGGTTTATTTTAATTCGTCTGAATTAAAATAAACCTGTAGCATAAAAATAGCCTTTAAACCTGTAGCATAAAAATAGCAACAAAAATAGCCTTTAAAGAGTAGGAATAAAGGAAAGTAATTCCTCACACTTTAGCCTTAAACCTAGTCGGAAAAAATTTACTTTATTTATTTTCTTACTGATCATAATAGTCATTTTATAGCAATACAGAAGCCTTATCTTAAAAAGGCAATTACATAGCATTAAAAGGCTCTTAAATACTAGCCTTTTTTGGCATATATACTAGACTTATTTAGCCTTTTTTAACGTGTAAAACATGTTGATTCTTAGAGATGTATTTTACTTTATTAGCCTTTAATGGACAAGTTCTGCTACAGGAATAAAAGAAAAATAATAATTTCTTACATACAAGCCTTAAAAAACTCTTAAACACTAGTCTTTTTTGGCATATATACTAGACTTATTTAGCCTTTTTTAACGTGTAAAACAGGTTAATTCTTAGAGATGTATTCTACTTTATTAGCCTTTAATGGACAAGTTCTGCTACAGAAATAAAAGAAAAATAATAACATACAAGCCTTACATACAAGCCTTAAATCTAGACAGAAAAAGAAAGAAAAAGAATTTATTTTATTGATCAAACTAACAAGAAAATCATAGAGTGTAACTCTCCTAACAGATCAATAAAACGTAGAAGCGTTAAAACAGTGATTAAAACAGCAAAGTTTTAATCATCCTCCCATTATTTATAACACGAGAAACTTTCCTTAGAATCTTACGCTAATTATAAACTACCGAAAAATTTTTTTAAAAAAAATACGAGCAAAAATTAATCATGAAAATTAGAATTTTAATTCGAAAAAAACAAAAATCTCCTTCGAAACTTGACATATTTTTACATTAAATCTCAGTTTATTATGAGGACTGGATGAAGCGATTCTAGACAATGTATCTTATGGAGTGGTTCCTAGTTAGCTTAGATCGATTGCTGTTACCACGACAACCGGCCGAATCGAATATTATCTCTGGGGGGAGGAGTAGTAGTGTTTAAAGATAGCATTATCTTTTAACAAGAGGGTGAAAAATTTGTGTGTACAAAAATTATGATATCATAATTCAATCTATCAATTCTGACCTCACGTTTCACCCCCTTCCTTCTTGGAACTCGTTGCAATTCGATACACAAGAACACCCAAGTCTAACATCACCTTTTAGCCTTTACTCTTAATCTTTAAGCCTGTGAGATAGAACTGAGTAGCCTTTATCGACTGAGTCGACTGTATGAGTAAGCGCAATTTACATTGTTACATAAAGGCTAATTCGCTTAGCCTTTATGTATTAATTGTATACGAGTAAAAGGTGTCCTTTTTTAAAAGAGAATTGTCAGATCTGTTAGGGGGAAGTTAGAAAAAGTAGCCTTAAAAAGCTGTGTAATCACGAAGGTTAGTGATGTATGTTTTTTAAGGTAGCTTAATATGTTATTAAGCCATTAACAAGCGGGAAAAACCGAATTATATGCAGTAAACACGAAGGATTTAATACATTCAATGCCACAAGATCAACTAGAAAAACCAGTAGCAGCCTTTACTTTAACGTTACTTTATAACATAAGAAACGAATGAGTGAATTTAAAAACAAATTAGAACGTTAATTCGAAGCGTAAAAACCTCAAAAAATATTTAAATCGGCCTTAAAATCGCGTAAAAATACACTTTAACTTGTTAAGAAACACCCAAACTGCAGGATAAACAAAGGCAGTTTAAGGTTAAATGATCGTTTACCAAAAGCAGGCAGAAAAAAACAGGAGAAGAAATTGTTACATTTCTAAAGGAAATATTCGAAATAAATTAATCTGTGACGTAGAATGTAGCAAAAGGCTTTATCGAAGGCTCAGTTCCTGCATTTTCCTCTGCGTCACGTGACCGTGATCGAAGCGCCAGGGGCGGTACATCCGGGGTCTAGACTGCGGCACGCATTTAAAGGGGGGTGAGCCGATAGCAACGTTACACAGTCGTTGCCAACGAGAAACACACAACGAATCTTGCTCCTCCGTATCGTCAAAAAAGATGGTTAACATAGCAATGCCTCCTGTTCGTATACTGAATGTATCCTGAGTTAATTTTACTTTCCGGTATACCTTCAGTATACGTAGCAGGAGACACTGAGCTCTCATCGATCCTCCTGTTAACAAGATGTCAAGACTTGAAGACAAGCTGGAACGTAAGCTAGGTGTCTTCTCTCTCCTCCTCTTCCTTTGTGACATCTAGCTCCCGGTGGCCATTTTGTATTACATGGCGGCTTCTTTGTGTTTCGAGCGATATTTTATACCCAATTTTCTAACGCCTTTCTCTAAACTTTACTTTCTATTCCGTTTTTTTTCTTCTTTGTTTTTACAATATTTCTTCCGATTTTAAGCCTTTCTTTTCCCTGTTTTTATCCTAGTTTTTATGTACTAAGATGGCGCGATTTTATACGTATTTCCGCTTTAATTGCGTAATAATCGCCAATGTTTTACGCGATTTTTTTTAATGTTCAAACTCGTGTAACTTATGTAAAAATTTGTTTAAAAATGCCTTAAAATATTTTAAAAATTTATAGTTTAATTCGCGTTAAAAATTGTAAATTAAAAGTAATTAAAATTAAAAATTAAATAATTAAATTAATTTAGTACCTATATCCGTCATTAGATGGAGCTAGAAACGGTTTTTAACTCCCCTCCTCCTTATTTAAGTGTTAACCAATAGAAGAAGAGTAAGCGCATAACATTATATCCCTATTGGAAGACATTTTTTAAACGAACGAAATTGATTATGACGTCGGATTTACTCCATCCAATAAGAGGTGCCAGTTGGCGTTTGTTATACAAAGTAGACGTTTCTTAAATGGTAAAAGAGGCGTGACTTATATTTAAAATTCGTAGATGTTAACCAATAAGAGAAGGCTATTTTTGTTCTTTGAATATTTGAATTTTACGAGTGTTTTATTCTAATTTTTAACGTTAAAGGTTAAAAATGTCAATAAAAATGTATAAAAAATATTAAATAAATAAAATTAATGTTTATAAAAAATGATTTATGGTTGAATTTAATTTNTTAAGTTTTTTGAACCATATTTTACTCCAAAATTAGGTTTCTTGGACCCTATTTTACTCCAAAATTAGGTTTATTGACCCTATTTTACTCCAAAATTAGGTTTGTTGGACCCTATTTTACTCCAGAATTAGGTTTGTTGGACCCTATTTTACTCCAAAATTAGGTATATTGGACCATATTTTACTCCAAAATTAGGTTTCTTGTACCCTATTTTACTCCAAAATTAGGGTTCTTGGACCCTATTTCACCTAAAAATTATTCAAAAATCAAATTTTTTAGACCATCTTCAATCAAAAATATCAAAAAAATTACAACTTTAAGAGCTAATTTTATCGAAAAAAATCACATAAAATATTACCTCAAGTGCCGTTTTCTTTAAACAGATTGGATTCCAGTGCCTAAATTATAGTGCCTACAGGCTCTAGGCATATTTTAGAAGTAGGCATAATGTGCCTGTATGCCTGTCGTTATAAATTTAATGCTGCCTTCGACTAACGTAAAACGAATTTTTTCTACATTGATGGACCACTACTACTTATCTAAATAGTTTAGGGGGTGCTTAAAAAAACAAACACGTTGTTCAATTCGTGACGTCACTCATAGGCAAACACAAGAAAGAGGGTCACGTGTCCCTCGTTCCGTGCCCTCTAGTGGCTTTTAGTTAACTCGTTCGCTTAACGCTCCGACAAACTTCCTTCCGTCGAATTTCTCCTCCTTTAGTTCAACAAGTACAAGGGTCAAAGGTCAAAGGTAAGGATGGAATTTTCCAATTGATTCGACCGTTCTATCGTGCCAAATTTTTCGATAAAAATCGCTCAGAAAATACAGAAAATTACACCAATTTTAGGCTCTACTTTAACCTGTTTTTATTAATTTATTTACTGATTTAGCCTTCAAGCTTAAGCACAAAGCTCAGCCTTAATAAATCTATTAACTAATTTTTAATATAAAAGTTCTAAATTTTATGACTTTTATCATTTTATTTCGTTAATAAACTTCTAAACTTACCTTACAAGGCACCAATTTTAATAAAGTCTAGTTATATATATATTTTAGCTATTTTTAGTTAAATATAAGCCTTAAATGTGTTAAAATGTGTAAATTTAATCTTATTATAAGGTTATTTATGCAAAAAGATAATATTTTCAGGCTTAGAAAGGCTTTTTTCTCTTTTATTCTCGCTAGACATTAACAGGTTTACCAACATCCAATCGTTATTTGCGTACGTTTTCAGGCTAATTAAGCCTCATTTTAAATTAAAATTTATATAATTTCAATTATATATGAGCCTTATACACTGTGTAGAAGTCTTAAGGCTAATTTTATTCAAGTTTTGTGCCTTTTTTTAATCATTTAAAGCATAAAAACGAATCTAAAGATAGTTGTTACAGGTATAACAAAAAACTAATTTTTCTTAATCCTAAGCTTTAAAATCGAATTATAAATAATTTTTAGAAGAGAAAAAAGCCTTACATCAACGTCTCATCTTCTTAGAAACAAGTTAGACGATACCACAACAGGATATTAAGACACTTAACCCTTGACCTTTGCTATCAAATACAGCATAGACTCGCTATAAAAAGAAGGAAATTAAAGAGGGAAAGTCTAAATTTAAGCTGTAGAGCGCCCATTTTATACTCTAAATATTTAGATTTTAACTAATTTTATAGCTTAGTTTTAGTTAGAAAAAGTTTAGTTAGAGCTCGAAGCTGTTGGAACTAATTTAGACCTTATTTCATAGCTTAAATACTTGATTAGAACTCATAGATTACAGCGTATTTAGGGCTTATTTAACCAAGAATTTAGAGCTTAGTTAGCCTAGGATTTAGAGCTTATTTAACCAAAAATTTAGAGCTTAGTTAGCCTAGGATTTAGAGCTTATAACCAAGAATTTATAGCTTAGTTAGCCTAGAATTTAGAGTTTAGTCAGCCTAGAATTTAGAGCTTAGTTAGCCTAGAATTTAGAGCTTAGTTAGCATAGGATTTGAGCTTAGTTAGCCTAAGATTTAGAGCTTAGTTAGCATAGAATTTAGAGCTTAGTTAGCATAGGATTTAAGCTTAGTTTGTTTAAAAATTAGAGCTTAGTTAACTTAAAATTTATAGCTTAAATAGACTATAATTAGAACCTAATTTCAAAAGAATTTCAGTAGTTTTTTCCATATTCCATAGTGAAAATCCCGTTAATTTTCACTTCTAATCAAACTTTTTATAATTGTTCACCAATTAATAAATCATATCTAATTAATTATAACGAAAATTATGCCCTATTTACTGTATAAATGCGTAAGTTATGCCTTTAATTAGTGCGATAGAAACCATCCACAGTTCTGCATAAATGTCGGTCTTGTTATAACGGGCCTACGCATAGAATATGTTATATTTTAAGGTATTTAAGTGTTTAAAACACTACAAATTCATCATAAAACAAGTTAATTGAGTAATTAAATTGTTAAATAACGCATAAACATCATTTATAAGCAGTAAACTTCCGTATAAATCAACGGATAACAGCGCGTAATAAGCGATTTTTCTTGTCAATTTTCGAAAATTTTTTAATATAATTTTATTAAAATTATTAAATTAAACACGAAAAAATCAATCTAAATACACAAATATTTAAAAAAATTAAGTTTTTTGCCTTAAAATTCGAGTTTTTTTGAGCCTAAATAGCGTTGAAAAAATCAATTAGATTAAAGTCAAATTTCATTAAAATTTCCCTATTTTTAAGGATATTTTCTAAAATATTAACATTATTAAAGTCTAAGAAGCATATAAGAAAACACAATTATTAAAAAAACACACATTTTATACACAAAAAAAAACTCAATTTTGTGAGTTTAAATAACGTTTAGAAACCGATTAACGTAAAGTCGAAATTTTCCCCGGTTTTTTTAGAAGAATTTTCGCCTTTTTNCCTGAAAAATATTACAAAATATAGAAAAAAGGGCCTCCAATTGAAGAAAATAATGAAGAAGATATCCTTGAATCATAAAAGGAATGCAAGATCAAAAAGAAAATGGGTCGAAAAAAGAAGAAAAAGTCGGTTGGATCATAATAAAATAATGAAAAAGATGAGCAATATGGCATAGATTTGTAATAAAATTTATATTTAAAACAGGCTTTAATCCTAAATATTAAAATATTTAAAATAAGGCTAACAGTAAAGTGAGGCTTATAATCTAAGCCAGATTTAAGCGCGTCAATAGGCTTCTAAAGGCAACAAATGCCTAAATTTACAAGGCTAAGTTTCTCGAGAAGGCATGCAAACGTTAAAATAAAGTCTAATCGCCTTTAAGGCATAATTATAAGGCTCAGACTATCTTGAACGTAACACGGTTATAATGAATAATTCAGCTAATTCAGCTTTAAATTTAGGAATTTTTGCATAAAATTACGAATTTAAACCCTTAAAATTACTTAAATTTACATATTTAACGCCTTAAATCGATCTAGAAAGGCAAAAATCATGTAATAAACAACTCACCCCATTCTGGAACGTGATATTACTTGAAACGATCCCTAAAATGCGGGGAAAATATATTAATAAAATNTTTATGGATGATAAAGTATAAAATGATGAGAAATTCAACATTAACAGCATATTAATCACAATTTATCATCTACAAATTCATGATTTAAAGCGGAGCCTTTATTTTAAGGTTATATAAAATCAGGCTAACGTTATTAATTATTTTTATCCAATTTAATACAATAAACACTTATTAAAAAGGCTACTTGCGATTATAAATATAAAGTGTAACTTAAGTAGGCTAAATATCTTCATTTAGCCTGAATAATTCGTGCAAAATCTAATAAAATGTGGCTATTTTAAGTAAAAATTACTTATTATTTCTCAACAGACAGGATACTTTTAAAGCAAGGTTTAAATCTAATTTTAATATAAGTAATATATAAAGGCTCGATATACATAGCCTGAAATAGATGGAAACGCGAGAGAGCTTCGTTATTTTAATTAAAGCTTAATAGTGAGCCTATTTTATTCCGGAGACACGGCAAAAAAGGCCTTGAGAAGCATAAAGCTCTAAAATAGGCTAAAAAGTATAATTTAAGCCTGAATTATCTGTATTAAAGTCAGAAGCTTTACATATTAACTCTCAGCAAATAGTTCATGAAAAAATAGCCTTAAACTTTATTTTAAATTTACTTTATATAGGTCATGTTTTGCAGGCACAAGTTATATAGCCTTTTATAAAGAGGGACTTATATAGTTTCATGACTTGCAGACGACGATGGAAGTCAAATATTCTTTAGAGTTTTGAAAATATAAGGCTTAATTATTAACATTTTAACTAGAAGAAAGCATTTATAGGCCTTAATGAATAAGTAATATACCGTGTCTCAGTCACCTTATTATTGTAAACCTGTAAATATGCCTAGATCTTATTGCCTATGAGGCATTTTATATGCAAGTGTGTAAGTATGATTTACAGACCTACATACCTGTAACCTATAGGCTAAGTAGGCCTTAGTCTGTAGCAATGTTGTCAATTCCCAAAGATATAAAACTCACTTTTATATTAGATAGAAATTAGCCTATATAATTGGCCTAAGTGTATAAACATATACAGAGCCTACAAGCCACACTATATAGGCCTGTATATTGTAGAGAATTCGGGAGATACACAAATATTTCAAGCATAATACTGGAAGATACAGGCTAGATTCTATAAGTAAAGGAAGAATTCTAGGTGTAAGGGCACACTAAACATAATTCTATACAAATTTGTATATTCTACAACGCGTTTTGAGTTAAAAATACACCAAAATAACAATATTTAAGCGGTACAAAGCTTCGGCATCTTTGATTTTTCTCTTATTTAGAGAACTTTGAACGCCATTTTCTTTTTATCTGTATATTTAATAAAGACTAGAATATTTACTCTATTGTAAATTACTTAGAGAATAGAAATTATTAAGCAATGAGCTTAGAAAATTAATCTTTATGAGGCCTATTAACAAGCTACAATACTTCTAAACATTAATTTAACTTGTTTACTCGTTCTATAGAAGTAATTTCAAGCAGCTAGAGTAATTTATAAACGAATATTTTACATAAAAATTGACAAAATAAGACCTAGTTTGATACTTTAGTAAGTCTAGAAAATAAATTAATTGACTCTAAACAATTTATTAAGCATTATAAGTCAATTATAAACTATTCTTAGTGTACTAGAGAGTTAAATAAGGAGGATAGAAGCATATAATTTAAGATTAAGAAGGGACCGTCAAGTGTTCTGAGTTATGGAATGAATCATTAAATGTATAATTTCTTTACAGATCACGTACGAAATAAATATTTCAAGAAGTTAAAGGACATGAACTTACATGGTAATGAAGAAGCTGGCAAGTGTTCAAGACTGATGACAATGTTAGAATTGGGCATGTGAAGGTACCTTGGCCTATGGACAACCCGACTTGACACTAACCCCAATTGATGCCGTGACCAAATGAACCAATGGGATGCACTTACGTCACAATTTAAACATTTTTAGACATTACAATTTAAACTGTAAACAACTCATTTTATAATTAATGACCTTAATATATCGTGTTGACTGTTTAACAGGAAATTCCGCATATATTTTTTGGTGGTTTTTGATAATATTTGGGGCCTATTTTTGTAAAATAGGCTCTCTCTTTCTCTCTCTGTAGGTTAAAGGTCACTTAAACGCTTTAACAAATTTTTTTAATGACTTTTTATGTCTCCTTCAGGCCTAAACATAATACCGTACAGTTTCTAACTATGTAAAATAAAAAAATTTAGATCTTAAAGGCCTATTAAGAGGCATAAATTTAGATTAAATGAGGCTTCTTTTAGGGTTCAGGAATTGTTAAGTTGTCAAGTTATATAAGAGTTATTAGACAAAGAAAAACCTAATTTCTATGGTAAATTGAACTCATTTTGAGTTTAAATTGTCTCCGGATAATAAAATAAACTTAAAATTTTTACATTTTGATTTAAAATTTAAAATATCTTACGTATTTACATCATAAATTTATACATTCAATTGTAAACTAGGAGTGCTTATCAGTGGATTTAAAGCATTATACAACTAAACTAAACCGATCGATTTATAAAAATAAACACAATTTAGTTTACTATTTAAATATAAATTCGTTATTTTATTTATTTATATATAAAATTTACGATTTATCATCGAACATATCTTATATAATAAATAAAAACTCTATCGATAATCGAACATTTAAAAATAGGGGAAAAAAATCTAAAACGGAATATTTATTTTATATAAATTAGTTTAAATGACACGAAAATCAATTATATTTATTGTTTATAACAATAGAAATATCATTGTTGCCGTAAAATACATGAAATTGTATCACATTGTTATAAATTAATCAGTTTCGTAAACACGTGTTCAATCACATGGCTGAAAATTAATCAATTTCATTACGCACGTGGTTTCAAACTAATCAATTTCATTGTGACGTTTTCGATCACGTTGTTTCGAACCAATCGATTTCATTACGCACGTTTCCAATTGTTGCGTAATTACAAAACCTAATTATTACGTAATAATAATATATTAG